CTCTCTCTCTCTCTCTCTCTCTCTCTCTCTCTCTCTCTCTCTCTCTCTCTCGATAAAAATACGTGTGTGCGTGTGTCTCACCACATATCTCTCACGTCATTATCTCTGCATGCCTCTATTTTGCTGTTCATGTATATATCTTTCTCAACTCTCTCTTTGACCATATTCGCCACCTTTCCCCCTATCTTCTTCTCTTCTTTCTAGAAAATATTATAACAACAAGCGAATGTGTGCACATGTGTGTACAAACATACATACAAAAAGAGTTAACATATTCATCTTCTGCATATTGTTCACAATAAGAAAGGTAGTTTAAAGAAACCTTTTAAAAGAACATCTCAAGGCCTTGTAGCAAACGTGATTTCAATCGACCAAGACCTGGTTTATGATTGGTTTCCTATAAAGTCGTAGTTGTTGCTTGAGTTCGTTGCAGTGGTGGTGGACGTACCTGCCGTTGCCACAACTGGTGCCAATGAGTAGGCCTTGTTTGGTAAATTCCATTTTATCTCAAGAGTATCCCTCCCCCCTTCCTCCTTCTCTACAAAAAAAATCACACACACCTTAACAATCCTTATTGTTACCTCAATTTTCTTTCTTTCTTAAAACCTAATTCCACTCTGTAACCAAAAAAAACAAAAAAACCCACTGAATATCTCGACAGATTTAATCGTATTTTGCCAGTCTGGAATGAACACAACAGAAGAAATCTGACCTGAGTGAAGGCCGGCGTTACACATAACACACAACACACAGAATCGGGAGAGCGTCAAATACTGTAAATATCTAAGGGTCCGTATGCCACACCCGGTGGGAATTCGAAACACGAGGAGGAGATCTAGGAAGTTCTGGGAGGCATAATGTGGAGGTGGAATGTCTTCCCCGCATCTAAAACTAATCTGAGAGCGAGATTACCGGCACATGGGCACAGCGGTGGTCGTCACATGGTGCATCAACGATGGAAAGGCCAAATTTCATATAAGTATACCCTGCGGATACTGGGTTGTTTTTCTCAGGGGAAAACAGGAAAAGGCAGCGGAGGAATGCTGGTAATAGAATGATGGTCTTAGTATTTGGGTTTATTTTAGTTTTAATAAAAGGTTTACTGGACTTGCAATCTATATTATAAGTGTCGAACATTACAGTTGTTACAAGAGAGTATCATACAGAGAAAAGAAGAGGTATGGACCCCAGATGCTTTTCGTTTTAGTAAGAGTTTTACGGCACTTGCAACACACTAAGGTCATATAAGTGCCCAAGAAGAGATGTGTTACAAGAGAGCAATATACACAAAAAAGAAGGAGGAGAGATAAGGACGATAGAAGTTTGATAGGAAAGAAGGAGCAAACCACACCAGAGCACCCGCCAACCACCAGGGGAAAAAAGGGGGACACTACGCCAAACTAACCGCCAACCACCCACACTTTGAGTATGTGAGTGCAGACAAATACACATTGACTGTAAATGTTTTATGCACCAATCGGCACAATTCACATCATTCAGGAACAGGGCGGCTTCAATCTTACCTGCTCCTGTTAAGGCAAACCCGGGCTGAGTGGGATGAAAACATCTTAGAAGAAAGACAGAAATACTCGATAAAATAAACCCCAAAAACTTCCCTACTCGGGAATTAAACTCACTCCTTCTGAGTGGAACGGCGTTGAGCCTAACTGTTACACCATAGACTTCCGTTGTACGCTCGAATTAAAAATTATCTTAATCAAAGAGTGCAGACAAATACGAGGAAACAAGTCTGGTTTGAGAAGCTAAAATAAACTGAAAAGCAAAAACCGCTGACACGACTGGCACAGGCACAGTGAATAGATAGAACACACTTGCCACTAAAACACAGAAACAGTCGTATGTAATTGTAGACATAATAATATACGCTTAAAAGTTTTTCGCTGGTATTTTGAACGTGTTTAGCCAGACTCGCAGGGAAACCAGTGCGGGGGCCAGACCACAATTTGAGATAATTATCGCGGTTTGTTGAGTCGGGAGCAGCTGAGCTTGCACGGCATTCCGTGAGATTCAAAATTGCTCATTTCGGTCACTGCCCGCCAAATTGCTCTACAGCGAGACTCAGACTGAGGGGTCTTTTGATTGCTCGCGCTCGTAGAGTTATGTAGTTTTCGAAATTCAAATAAAAAGGTTTATTCGCCAGTGTCGACGAATAAGCACATTATATACAACACCGAAATAAAATTGTTACTTAGCCAAACATGTCCAAAATACAACGCTACATCAGTCCAACGTAAGATACTTTCAGAAATCAAGGAAATGTTTAACAGGCGATATTCTCCTATGTCTGACTTATATTTATTTGACTTTTTGTTGTTTTATTGTTTTAGTTAAAGTTTTACGGCACTTGCAACACAATTAGGTCAAATAAGTGCCAAAGATAAGAGGTGTTACAAGGGAGTAACAAACACAAAAAAGGAGAGAAAAGGACGCTCGATGTTTGATAAGAAAGAAGGAGCAGATTACACCACAGCACTCGCCAACTACCCGCTTTTTAAAGCTATTTGGAGTAAAGAGGAGCAAACCGATAAAACAACAGTCATTTAGAGTGGGGAAAGAGTAAAACAGATAGACATAAAAGATGGCAAAGAAAAATGGTAAGACCTTCAAGTGGCAAACTTCAACAACCCGCTAGCCTTGTCTTGAGTAAAGCGAGGCACATCGACACAATTATGGCCATTTAGTGCTGTGAGAAAGTAAGACAGACAGACAGAAACAACAGAGAGAAAATAAAGAAGTTATAGGGCCTACCAGCGGCGCCCTCCAACCACCCGCCTGTTTTAAAAGGATTTGACCATCACGCAACATACATACCTAGTATCCATTCTGATACACAATACACGCCCAGGTTGGTTATGACGGGAAAAGTGAGTCTGCTTCATACAGACGAATAAACAACAGTGGGAGTAAACGATTATGTGCCGATGTTGGACAATATACGAAGCCATTTCGAAATTCAAATACAACGGAAGCTGTCCCGGCACGCCAGGCGTCACACTCGCGACACGGAACTGTCTGGCCGTTTGAGGATACAGAGGTGTGCTGACATTTGAGGAAAGAGAAACAATTCAACACAATAATGGCGTTAACTGAAATGGAAAAGTTAGACATACTGACAGAAATAGCAGACGGAAAGGAAAATTTAATAAAGTTCGGGCAAACAATTATGGCGTTCTCCAACCACCCACAAGCGCATAAACAGATAACTTTCTAATCTCTTGGAATCAGAAAGAAAAACACCAAAAGTGAGGCAGCGTTGTGGAATCAGGCTCTCGTCAATTTTTGAGCATGTAAAGTTATTGGTATCATCTTAAAGCTTGTTCACTTGTCTTTATTTGGATGAAAAAAATATCAATTTAT